ACTCCTCGTAAGCAGCCCCCTTCTCTGTCTTGTAGCAAGAGATCTGCAAAGGGAAGCTTTTTCGCCAACGTCCGTTGATCTGCTTGTACACTACTGCCGAAAGTAGTCCGTACGAGTACGGCTGCCAGGTCACTTTGAAAGTAAAGTCCTTAGCTTGGCTTCCAATGTACAAATCGCGCTCATCCTGAGTGGGGCTTGGCATGCCTCTAAATACGTAGATAGATAGATAGATAGATAGACAGATAGATAAATAAGTAGATAGAACGATAGCTAGATAGATAGATAGATACATAGATGGATAGATAGATGGATAGGTAGATAGATTAATAGATAGATAGATAGATAGATGGATAGATAGACAGATAGATAGATACATGCATAGATACATGCATAGGTACATAGATAGGCAGATAGATGGATAGATAGATTATGAAATTGAACATGGCTCTGCCGTCAGCTTCAAGCTACCCTTGAGGGTCTTCAGGTGATCAAGAAAAAATGGAACGCGCGCAATCCACCGGGAAGAAGCATGTCCGCACCGTGATCACGTCGCCTTCGTGCAGCTTAGGTGTTCCAGTTGGCCCCTTGCTGCAGTTCGGGGCTCGCGCATATGCCCTGAAGAAGTCATGGCAGGATCGCTACCAGCCATGGCGAGAAATCAGAGACGAAGTGGTGGTTTTGGGTGTCGCAATCCTCCATGACTACCACCACTTACTATGTTCAGTCCCTGGAGACCAAAAAGTTCTTCTATATACTGACGATGTGGTGGTCCCCAGTCCCAGCGCAGATCAGCCTGTGAAGCTGATGAAGCGATGGTCCATCTCCACAGGTGTCCATGTTGAACATGGAAGGGGAGGATGCTTGGTGTCAAAGGCTTGGCTTTGTCGGCGCCGAGATGCTTTTGATGCCTTTAGTCCCAACGACCCCAACCTCTTCAAGCTCGAAGTGAGCAGTGACAGTTGGCCATTGAAACACCGGAGCGGCAATCCTCAAGTGAAGGGGGTTCCCAGGATGCCAAGATCTCAGGTTCATCAGAGGAGGACTTGTCGGGCGGAGGGGAGAAGGTGCCCGACGGCCCAGCGGTGTGGACACAATGCACTCTGCTTACTTGAGCCGCAGAGTGGGGGGAGTGCGTGTGAGCAGCTGTAGCCCTTAAGAGCCGGTTGCCCCGGTGCGTGCCCCCATGCCTGGTAGCTGTAGCTATCCAGTGTGGGCATAGACAGATGTTTCGTAGGCGATGAGCCCAACATAACGCTTGTCTGGATGTTTTTGGATGGAATCATCGGCGTGTGAGAAGCTCGTGGGCGGCACATGGCACGCGACGTGCAGATGGGCGGTGCTCGGTGAAGGCGTGACAGCTACTGCGGTGTGCAGGGTGTGGTAAGCTACAGCGGCATGCGATGCATTTTCAATTCATGTGGCTGGGCACCTAACAGTCGGTGCGGTGGCTCATGCCCGACGGCCCAGTGGTGTGGACACAATGCACTCTGCTTACTTGAGCCGCAGAGTGGGGGGAGTGCGTGTGAGCAGCTGTAGCCCTTAAGAGACGTTTGCCCCGGCGCGTGCCCCCATGCCTGGTAGCTGTGCTTGTAGCTATCCAGTGTGGGTGGTGTGTGGGCATAGACAAATGTTTCGTAGGTTGTGAGCCCAAGTTCTGTTCTTGCATTTGATTGCAGAGGTCATGATGAAGGAACATTTCTTCGGCCTCAATCTTGTTCATGATGGCATTCGTGAGCACTTCCATATATAGGCCCTGCTCCAGGCTCCAGGTTCGTGATGTCCATGCGGCCCATCTCCTCGCTGACATATGCATGTGGCCAGGTTGGATTGCACCGAACGGACAAACTGAACCCTCGTGAGTGGAGCATTCCCAGGTGCCTTTCTTTTTTTGTTTGAGGTCACCAGGCTTGAGCCACCGCAAAGGGACAGAGTTGGTGGCGGATGGTATGACCAAGCCGTTGATGGGACAGAGCTTTGAAGGTTTTCAATAAGACTTGGACTTGAAGAGTGGTGCCCAAGTGAAGAAGATGGTGGGTGGCAGTCAGCCACTTCAAGCGCAAGATCATCAAGTAGCTCTTCGTGCGCTGGTGGCGGGCGGACTGCTGGTGAGAGCCGCTGAAGCGCAAGGGGATCAGGACACAGACGCGGCCTTTGGACACCTCGGGTTGCGCGGCCTAGCGCTGGCGGTGATCGGGGCAAACTGGGTGGCGAAGTCGGCCTGTGCTTCTGTGCATTGCTGTCTTCGTCGATTGCGCGTACTGCCCAGCGAGCTTCACAGCTTCGAAGATGAGCTAGAAGCTGAGGATAGGGACCTGACTACACCTTTGCGATTGAGGCGACCAAGATCAAGGAGCTCTACTACAAGAGTGAAGGCTGCTGATGAAAGTGGGTCAGCGACCGAAGAAGAAGCCGGGCACCATCTCACGAGTGAGAATGAAGCCACATCGGCTGGTGATCAAGTCTGTGAAACTTCACGGGGCAAGATTGATGGGAAAGAAGGGGAGCCGCGAGGCTCTAGTTCACTGAGCGCTTCAAGTGAACGAGCTATTCAAGCAGCTTGCGCAGCGGCTGATGGGGCCGAGAAGGCCGCAGAAAATGCGGAGTTGGCGGCGCAGGCTGCGGAGCAAGCCGCAGAGCAAGCAATGGTGGCTGGACAGGTCGCTGGACAAGCGGTCGCGGCATCAGCAAGACTGCACCGAGTGGTGGCGCAATCGAGCCGACGCAACCTTCTTCGAGTCACCAAGGAAGTCAGAAAGTTGAGCCAATCCCCACGAACCTGTGGAACAGGTTCCAGCACGAGCATGCTGGAAGAGGATGGACGGCCGAAAAGATGCGGGCCGAATACTATAGGGCCAAAGGCCTGAAGAAGATTTGAATGCCTTGAGCCTACTTTTCCCAACCAAGATCTGTCGAAAGACAGAAGGGGAGTCTGTTCCGCACGGCGCTAACACCGAACTGTACCGAAAGGCATTTGTTTCTCGAGTGTGAAAAAGGGACGCCAGTGTTCCTTGACAAGCTGGTAAATAAACTGTCTTTCAAGAAAGTAATTGAAAAATATTTAAGATATACTACTATACTACTAGCATAAGTGGTTCAAAGCATAATATTGCCTATTTAAATGACACCTGTAAGAATGTAGCAAGTGAAATTAGGAAACTGGAAAATAGGAAAAATGAATATGAAGTGGGGGAATTTTTGATATGTAGAGAATATACAAAAACCCCTACATCAATATTTAATGTAAATTTTAAATATGAAATTGTCGTCAATATTGGAAAGGATGGGATTATGACATTGAAACATACTAAGTAACTATACAATACCTCAATCCATTCAGATTAAGAAGGTAAGGGGCAATTTCATCTTCGCCCATTGCACTACCTGCCATTCAGCCCAAGGCAGTTGTATAGATGGAGACTTTATTATAACAATTTTGACATTAGAAATTATAGGGAATTCTTATGGACAGCAATTACAAGAGCCAGAGATTTAAACAAGGTAAAGTTTTATAAAAAAGTGATGATGTAAATGATGAGTTCAATTATAAATGTATGAACAGTTTTTTAATGAAAGAACAATTGAAATTACAAGCAACAGAACAGAAAAGCAAAAAGGAAAATACCAAAGGAATGCTATGTAAATGTCCAGTGGTTTTTTGATAATATAACTAACCAATGTAATTACTGTGGGTGTGGGTTTCATACAACAAAAAACGGCAATATAACAACAAACCTAACAGCCCAAAGAGTAAATAATGAATATACCCATGCACTGGATAATATAATACTTTACTGCTGTAGATGCAGTTGCAGTTGTAAATACTGTAGTAATATCTAAAAACTTATCTAAAGAAATCCTAATATTCATATGGTATATATTGGCATGAATATGTAGGTATGAAAACGGTAAAATCAACAAAATTATATACTGATATAGGCTACAATACATGCTATATTGGAAGCACAACTGAAGATTAAACAAAGATTTGAACGACACAGAAGCACATATAAAAGAATTTGCAGAAGGGAAGGGAGACCAGACTAGGTCATATTGGTTATTTGATGAGTTTGGTGTTGAAAATTGCAAAATTGAACTAATTAAAGACTATCCCTGCAATGGCCGTGAAGAACTAGAAAGAGAAGAGGGCATACACATTAAAAGCACCAATTGTGTTAATAAAGTCATAGCAGGTAGAACATCACAGGAATGCAGAAGAGATAATGCTTACATTGCTTTCAGGGAAAATTATATAAGGAACTACACCCAGAAAAGGTAAAGGAATGGGCGAGAAGGACTTATGAAAATAGAAACGATATTCTATCTGAAAAGCATTTATGTAGTTGTGGTAAATACTAGGACATAAGAAAAACACACAAAAATCACAATACCATCAGAACTACTTAAAACAACAAGAATGAACTTATGTTTTTCTATCAACCTAACTTTGCCCCACAAATCTATCACATAAATTATAACGCAATTTTTGGGGATGAACTACAGTGGGGCAAGGTTATGCTGCTAGATTTTTTTTGGTTGGGTTTGTGGTGAGCTGTCGTTCTGATTTTTGGGTAGTTGTTTTATGATTGTTGTTTCAAAAATTTAGGCGGACAATTTTTCAACAAGACAAGTCTTGTTGAAACATTGAAATTGTTTTCGGATTGATATTGATGAGTTGTTTGTGCTTGGTTGTTCTGATTGGTTTTGGTGTTGTTGTGTATTTTGGGGGGCTGTGAGGTTTGGGGGTTCAGGGTTGGAAGATGGGCAAGGCCTATCCAAACTTATCTAGACACGTCGAGTTATCCGATTAAACTGGTTTGAGAGCAAGACCCTGGAAAAACAAATATATATATATATAACATTTTATACATACAGAGATACGTACAAGCAAACCCCGACAAAAAGGACACAAAGTGCTTGTAGGGCACTAAATGGCACTACTCTGTATGGCAATCTGTATCCATTTGCAATCTGGATGGCAACACCAACCGCCCCAGCCGCACCTTCTGAGGTGCTTGGTGTTGCGCCAGCATCTGCTTCGGAGACCGGTGGACCTACCAGTAAAAGGAACTAAAGGCACCTTCGTCACACTAAGGTGGTCCAACACGTGTCATGTTTGCTACTAATAGCTTCTTGCTGGAGTTTGTAGCGTCCTTGCTCCGTTCGTAGCGATGTCCTTTGTTACTAGTAGCTTCTTGTTACTACTAGTAAGGCACCTGTTACTAGTAGCGATGCACTTGCTACTAGCTAGCAATCTGGGTCTGCCATGATGTGTGAAAGGCCGCGCAAGTGTCGCATAGATGTGAGAGATCGCATAGGATCGCCTTGCTTCGCCTTGCTTCGGCATTACTACTAGTAACAAAGGGTATCACTAGTAGTAGCAAAGGGCATCGCTACTAGGAACAAGAAGCTACTAGTAGCTCCTCCTCCCATTACGAAGTGGTGGCTCGACTGCCGGCCTTCGACCTTACGACGCTTTGAAATTCCTGGCAAAGCAGGAAAGAAAACGGACTGATTGTAGCATGAAATGCTTCAACCCACGAAGGGCCAAACATGATTTGGCATACTCAGCTGAAGCTTAATGAACTTAATGGCTTATCCTATTTGCAGTGAACTGTGGTCATTCTGGAGTAGATGTTAGGAAGATGGTAATACGTGAATGTGCTATATTCTGTCAGATTCCACCCCAGCATTTCTGATTGTCTTTTTGCCAACAGGCGTTTATTATATACACTCTCACATGCGTAGGAACCAAAGCAAAGACAATACTATTAGTGCGGCGTATACATACCAACAAATAAGAAAGCGTCGATAGATTATACAATTTACCAACAAATGAGAAAGCTAGAAAAGTGCCCGGTCGGGGATGCCTGCTGCTTGTGGCTTCTTTGTTGTTGAGCGCCTCAGTCAGCTAACAGATTGATATGCAGCATGCTCTTGCCTGATTTGATCGTGCGCAGGACAAATCTGAGCTTATCAAGCACAAGCGAGCATCTTGAACATTGCAATGTGGTCTGTAAGGACTAAGGATTAAGGATGAACAGGATAACCACGGAAACTGCTGGGTTGCAGACTTCTTCTCAGGTTTTTCACTGACAGAAGCATCCTGGCACTGTGCAGGATCTATCACGATCAATAACAACGAAGGTGCTTGGGAGCGGCTTATTGCAGCTCCACTAGAGGAATCACCTTGGCTTGAGCTGACCAAATAACGCTAAACTTTCTGCTATTGTCATCTATAGTCTAGTTAAATAGAAATTCATAGTATGAACAAAATGAGTCAGTGATACCGTGATACCAAAACAAAACAAACAAATGTCGCAAAAATGTTGTCGGACTAGTGGATCAAATTTAGGCATACAGGAATCATCAGCAAGGCATCTTTTTGAGCATCATTCACATCAGCCTTGAGTAGGCCAGATAGCTTGGGAAAAAGCCAGCGCAGGATGTCCGCCGCAATATGTCCATCTTAGCGGCTGTGGTTGTGCTGTGAGTTTATCAAGGCTCATTCTTATGTCAACGTGCTGCCGCATGTGCTAGTGCATAGAATAAAGAAGAGTCAATGAAATCGAAGTGGAGCCTTCAACTTGACTGGTCATGATCTGGATGAAATACATCATATTCCAAGCATGTCGCATCATGCCACCATTGGATGATAAAGTCTTAAAATGAGCCCGGCCCTTCTGCGCTCGTCATGCCAACCGCCCAGGGCGTCCTCCACCACTTCAATAAAGCCATACCCACCCGGCGCACGCCTGAAAAAGTGGGGAAGAGGTGAAGCGCGAGAAAAGGTGAAGTGTGTCCTTGCTTCTTGTAGCTTCGTGTTCCGGTCCTACTAGTAATGCCAGGAGCTACTAGTAGCTTCTTGCTCCTAGTAGCGATGCCCTTTGTTCCTAGTAGC